GGTTCTTAGAATTTTTAAGCTTATCTTAATATTCTTAAATTAAGCATATTTGGGCTGAATTTCATGCAGTTTCGCTCGTTCAATTTTTGAGAATATTTTAATATTCTTAAATCAAGCATGATTTATGAATGAAATAAATGCTGAATTTAATAAATGCTTGCTTTAAGTACAAAATACTTAAAGCAAGAACTCGCACACTTAAAATAAACTTAACTTAATTTTACCATGAGGGTAAAAAGATGTCTAAGATTTGGTTCTGTTTTTAGAAATGATTTAATTTAAAGAATTTTTTGATTACATTCAGACAATGCTTGTTCTTAATTCAGGACCTTTTTTGAAATTGATAATCTTAAAGGAGTTTAATTTGTCATTATCATTTAACATTTAACATTTACTCAATTGGCAATTCTCTTTCTATTAATTGACATAACAGCACTTTTAACACTACATATTACATACTTTAATTGTTCCACTTCCCTATGTTTTACAACCCTGTTTACAGATTTTTCTTTTGCTGTTATATTTTTTTGCATAATTTGCAACACTTTTACATTTGCTAGTTATTTATTTATCAACCTTACTCTCTTTATATTTTACAACACATTTTTCTTGATATTTCATTATACATTTTTTAACAGTGCTTCTGCTTATATGTTCCTATCTATTTGACAAAACTGAACGGAAGTTAACTACTACAGTGACATGATTTACAGATTCTATTGTGTTTCACAACACTGGCTAACAGTTAACGTGAACTTTAAGCTGCAAGAAGAAGAGCAGCAGAACACATCACCAAGCACATTCACTGAAAGAATGGTCAAACGACCGGTTGACTGACTGACTGTCTAACTGACTGACTGAATGACTGACTGATTGATTGATTGACTGATTGACTGACTGAGTGACTGAGTGGCTGACGGATTGATTGACTTATTGACTGAGTGGCTGACCGATTGATTGATTGACTGAATGACTGACTGACTGAATGACTGAGTGGCTGACCGATTGATTGACTTATTGACTGAGTGGCTGACCGATTGATTGATTGACTGAATGACTGACTGACTGAATGACTAAGTGGCTGACCGGTTGATTGACTTATTGACTGAGTGGCTGACCGATTGATTGATTAACTGAATGACTGAATGACTGAATAACTGAGTGGCTGACCGATTGATTGACTTATTGACTGAATGACTGACTGGCTGGCTGACTGACTGAGAGGGTCATCCCGTTATATTATTTTCCTACCCTAACTGCAACGCGTCTGACTGTCAGCTGTTTTGGCTGACCCAAATTCTCGAGCAGAAGGGAAGATTTCTATCAGCCAAATGAGTGCTGGCAAACCCTTTTTGGCTGTTCGTTAAGACCCGGTGAAAGTTGTGGCACGTGCGGCAACAGCAGCTGCTGCTGCTGCTGTGGCAGGAACTGTTCCTGTTGCTAATTGTCAGCGAAATATTTCGGCGCTTCTGTGGAATGTACCGTTAGGTTGCTTCCGTTATATGTTCATCTGTGTAGCTATTGTTTTTGGCATTTATTTTTGTTAGGGGAGGGGTGCAACTTTCACTTGCGCATGTGGCAAAGGCAGCTGCCCAGTTGTTGCATGCCGCATTCCGTTAGCCATAAAAGCCGGCATCAATCATAGCCGCTAGTTGAGTGGAACGTGGCAGGAGCCTGGCCTGGCCTGGCCTGGCCTGGCCGCTCGGTATCTGCCACAAAATGGGGCGTTATCGCTCTTAATGACACGTCATTTGTTGCAAGTTCTGCGGCGCTCTGTGGCAACTTATTAGATTTGCCACATGCCGAACGATTCATCTTTTAATTACCGCGCTGAAAGCGCGCATTTTTCAATAGCGCATCGATTTCAGGCGCTTGCGCGACTGCGCAGCCGTCTCTCCACACCACTCGCCCGCTCTCCCCATCTCTCTCTCTTTCACTCTGTCAGTTACACCGCGCGATGTCTGTCTCTCTCGCACTGACTACCCACGCATGCCTGAGCAATTTTGCTGTGCGCTTTGCACTAAAATAAATCTGCGGCGATTTGTTTGTTTGCACAAGTCGCCGCCAGTCGCCGCGCCGCCACTCGCCTTGCCCCGCCAATTGGCGGCGTCTCCGCGTGTAGCCCGTTAAGCGCCTGGGGGCTTGCACTAAATATTACAGCCTGCTTAGTTGCTTATACCTTGTATTTTGTATATACCCTGTACACATGGAGAGTATGTAAAAAGCTTTTCAATAATGTGACAGACATGCTAGTCAAATTCTTTCATATCAAAATCAAAGGACTTTTAATATATATCAGAGTATATGATATTTGGGAATATGGAAATCTAATTGCCCCGATTATCCAATTATATATTAATTTTTCCTAAGATGCCAAACATAATACTGAATCTTAAAGAAACCTAACCTCCTGGTTATTTCATATTTGAGTGAAATGTGCTTAGAGGGTATCTGTTAGGCGAGCATTCTTAACTAATGCAATTTTACATGTTTTTAGTGCATATTCATGTGTCTCGCTCCATCTCTCTCGCTCCATCTCTCTCCCTCCCTCTCTCTCGCTCTCTCTTTCGCTAGCTACCTGACTCTCTCTGTCTCTGTCTCTCCCGGGTGTTATTTATCATAAAAAATTGCTCAGATTTGTTTTGCGACGGCAAAGACATGACGCTCATTTGTTAGCAAACGAACTGGCAACTGGCAAACTGCAGCACTCTAGACACACAGAGGGGCTGTATGCGAAGGGGTGAATGGAAGGAGGAAGGGGGGGGGGGGGGGGCAGAGGGGATTGTAGGTAATGGGAGGAGGCTTAAACTACAGCTTTGGCACTGACTCCACCAGCTGCTGGCAACCTTCTCCGCGTGCCTAGCCTTTGCCTTCCCTGAGCCCCTGCCAAATGCTTTCACTCTAGGCGTTTCAGTCGATCTTGCATACCCTGTAAACATGCAAATGGGCATACAGGGCAGCCCGAAGGCTCTCAACCAGGCTTGGCTTGGCATTGTTGTTGGGCTATATTCTAAGGGTAAATAACTGCCTGGTCTCGAACTGATCAGCTTAAAACTTAACTTGCAGCATTCCACTCATTTTCCACTCGTGAAAGTGAATGATACCTAATGATTTAGTCAATACAGAACGAGTGAGTGAGCATATTTGAAGTATTCTTCACTCTTCTTTCGTGCAAGTAACAGCTTTTACAGGGCATCTGCTAGTTGTGCCCATGCACTATTATTTGTTTGATGTATGTTTCTTCTTTTTTTTTTTTTGTGCAAAAACTTGCTCTGCACTTGCGTCGTGTGTTCTTATTTTTATTAATGCAGCCGCCGACTGTTGCCAAAGTTCAACGCAAATATAATCTGTCAAATAATTTATCAGTGTTTGCTGACGATGAGCTAAGAGCAGCAGCAGCAACAACAGCAGCAGCAGCAGCAACAGCAACAACAGCAGAAGCAACAACAGCAACAACAGCAGCAGCAGCAACATTGAGACCTCGCTGTCTGTGCCTGTTGCCTTGTGCAAAGTTCACGTTAAGTGCTTGACAACAACAATTTCGCATCGATAAAGAAATGCTTTCTTTCATCATCAAGTGCTGCTGCTGGTGCTGCTGCTGCTGCTTCTTCTTCTTCTTGGTTTGCTATTTTGATTATTTTTGGAAGCGGAATCTAATGCTGCGCCCAAGCTGCACACTACACTCGTGTCATCGAGCAGCAGCAAATTCTTCAAGTATTTTCTTCATATTTTATTGAACTTGTTCCTCAGACTTTCAGTTTACAGATCCTTCAGTTGAGGCTTTGATTCTAGCTGCTACCCATTTTAAACACACACACGCACGCACATTTCCAATCTGGCCTAAAAACTATTTGTTCAAGGCGTCTTTAGGCATTCGATCGGGGTCCCTCTTTCTATGATAGTTGTTAATTCTCGAAAAGGCATAAAAGTTGAGACAGGAAATGTGGCACAAAGTCTTTGGGCTAAGCTATAAAAAAGGCTAAAAGCTCTCTTGAGTTTTTTTTTAGATTTTCTTTATCATTTTATATATGTATATATGTACATATATATGTACATATATATTTTTGTTCACATTGAGATGTTATTCGATGCTTCTGCTTGGAACTAGTTCCAGTTACGCGTTTAATGCCTTGGCACTAGTTCCGGTTCCGGTTCCAGTTCATTTTTATTTTCTGCTCATTTGCTTAAGTTTCGGTTCTGGCTGCGTTTTCGTGTTCCATTCGCTGCTTTTTGTTCCAGTTCAATTAATTTTGCCAGTTCCGTTCGTTCATGTCGACTTTGTCAATGCTTTTGTTTTGTTTTTCTTTTGCCATGTAAAATGTTTTCTATGGTTTGCTGGCATTTCGCATTTGTCTCGCCCGATCGACAGCCGTTTGCTTGTGTGGATGTGTGTATGTGTGTGTGTGTGTTTGTGTGTGTTTGTGATTATGTGTTTGCTCTCAAACAGAAAAGATTTAATTATCTCAAGGTTGCACGCGCGCTATTTTATCTGGCTCCTCTTCCTCTTCATTAGCTGACGCTTTGCGCTATTTTCAACACTGTTCCCCGCCCTGCGCTGCGGTCTGCCTCATACTCTGCAACTGCACTGTGCCATATTATTTTGGCCACCACTGTCCCTTGGAATTGTATTGAATATTATATATTAAGAAAATGGAACGTAAATATATTGTCATTAGAGAATTTCAATCGACGCAATGTTCGCAGCTTTTCCATTGTCCATTGACCAACGGGAAAAGGTAGCCTGAACTTGGGTTAAACACTTTGTGGCACAGTTGTTGCTGCCACTTCGCCGGTGCCTGCCGCACTGCGTGCTGTGGCCAATGATGAGGGGCAGTGCGAGGAACCGCTTGGCATTGTTACCCAGAGACCTACAGAAGAGCGGCTGTTGCTGGTGTCAAAAGCTGGGCCGAAGCGAAGGCCAATGCGATTGCGGAAGCTGCAGCAGCAACCACAAAAGGCAACTGTCGTTGTTGTCGTTGTTGTTGTGGCTGTTGTCTGCTTCAGCTGTTGCTGCTGCTGTGGCTGTTGTTATTGGACACCTGTTGTCCCTGCGTCGATTTATCGCTCGTGTTGCTGCTGCCTTCTGTTGTTGCTGTTGTGGCCGGGCGTCTTGCCTCGAAATCGTGCCGTTTATGATGATGGCCACTTGCCGCTGCTCGCCTTTTATTGCTTTTCGATTGCAGCGTGTGAATTATGATCTTGCAAGAGGCGGCAACAGCAACGGTGGCTCTTGCTTGCCTGCCGGCAGCAGGTTGTTGTTGTACCTGCTGCTGCTGCTGCTTACAGCGGTCACGTGCGCTAAGTGTTGCAGTGCTTTGATATTAAGCGCCAACAGGTGTCGAATTGCTACAACAAACACAACTGCCCACCATTAAGGCAACGGTAACAGCAGCAACAACAGCAACAACACAGCAACTGTTGCTCTTGTGCCCTGTGGCATGTCAGCAGCAGCAGCAGCTACAATAATACACAGCACTGCAGCAACATATCATTAAGAACAAGAGCAACAATAAAAAAAAACGAACAAAAAGGAAAAGAAGTGAAAAGAAAAGCAAAGCAAAGCAACTGGCAATCAGCAGCAACTGGCAAAAGCTGCCCAAATCAATTGCTGCCGTTGCAGCAACAGCAGCAGCGGCAGCAGCAGCAGTTGCTGCCGTTGTTGCGTTGACACAATCAACAGCAGCAGTTGCTGCAGCGACAATAGCCAAAGTCTGGGCATGATTTATGGCCAGGCATTTTCTTGCATCTCACCCACACAGAGATGCGACGCACACCAGCAACACACGCTAATTGTGTGTGAAAGCAGCAGCAACTGGCAGCAACAACAGCAACTTGCTGCATTGCTCATACGCCCACGTGTACAACAACAACAACCACAACAACAACAACAGCAACGATCGCATTACCATTCGCTGGCATATTTAGCATTCGCATAGACGCAATCATAACCATAAACAGTTTTTTTGGCCTTTTTTTTCAACTCCTTTTCTTTGTTGCTATTTTTGGCCGTTTTTAGCATTTGGCTTGGCAACTGCAACATTTTGTGGCGGCTCTTGTTTTGAATAAACGCAAAGCCGAGCGACGCTTTTGGTCAGCTGCTGCTGCTGCTGCTGTTGCTGCTGGTGCTTGCCCCCGCCGCCCATAAAAGGCGCTTGTAAGTGCTACTGTTTATCCAATGCGCCTAACGGTACGAAAATGCGCCGCATAATTTACGCAAAAAAAAAATAAAAATAAAAAGCGAAAAATTGGCAAACAGCTGCCGAAAATAAGCGGTAAAAAGCGCTTCACACACACACACACACACACACGCACATATACCCATATGCAAACAGGCTGAAAAGCTGCTGCGCGCTTTTCACTTTTCACAAATGGCCATGCAAATTACAAGACACATTAGCCGAGTCAACAATCCTACGCCTAACCCAAAAATGGGAGCAACTACAACAGCAGCAGCAGCAGCAGTAGCAACATGCCGCATGCCGCATGCCACATACATTTGCCTAGTCAGGCGAGAGAGCAGTTTACAGTTTACAAAACGGAAATACGCCAAAAATATGTTTACAGCAGCTGCTAAGCGGCCATAGGAATTGCTGCTGCTGCTGGGAGCTGCTGCTGTTGCTGCTGGGAGCTGCCAGCAATTGTTGCTGCTGCCAAACAGAGTTGCCAATGCAATAAGCAACAGCTAAAGTTCTTAGCAAAAAAAAAAGATGAAAACTTTAATTGAGAGGATATTAAATTCGATTTTTTTTTAAAGTTTTTTAGACTATGTCTCAACTATTTGAAAAACAATTTAAAATATTTTGAAAAATCATTTTAGTGTGTAAAAGCTTTCTGCTCGGGCCGACTTGAATATTTGACTTTATTTGTTAAAATCATTTTGCATATTATAGAATATAATTAAAAATATTAAACAAATATAATATCCAAACAAAAACTACATATATAAAAAGTCTGCTATAAAAATATATGAATAAAACACATGTGGAAGAAAAATGATATTGCTGTTATTTTTAATCATTTAATTATTCCATATTTTAATATATATTTTTTTTGCTTTTCCATTTTTTTTAAATAGTGCATATTTTAATTACATTTTCGTAAATTTGTATATTTATAATTTTATTTTTTGTTTAGTTTAGAATTTATCTGAAAGTCCAAAGTTCTTCTTGTAAATATAAATAATATTGAAAATTTTCCCGCTTTATTTGCAACTAATTTTAATAAAAAGAAGCTCGTCTATTTGCCAGCCAAAAATGCATTATGTAACTAGTAAAAAAAAAGGAAAACAATCATATTTTGCTTATGATATTTGCTTTGACAAACCATAAATAAGTCAAAATATAACAAATTGTTGACTCGTTTGCTAATTTGCAAAATGCTCATTTGCCATAAGTTGCAACACTAAATGACATTGTGCAACACTGTGCCCAAAAAAAAAAAAAAATGGAATCAAATAAAAACAATTGACTTACTACCACCCACAACAACAGAAGTTCGTTATTTAACTGGAATGCAAATAAATAATTGTT